ATTTTTTTTTTACCGTGCTTTTTTAAAAGGTCCCGAGTTAAGCTGATTGTCACTTTCTTAAGGGTTGCTTTGCCCCACTGCTAACAAGATTTGTTCCGGCGGCCCTTGGTGAGGTGGACGCTACCCCAGTGATGATGGGGCCAGCCAAAGGGGCCCCCTTTAGAGCTGTGGAACAGGAGTCGACACAGCGGCAGCAGCAACAGTGAGCAGGCTGTCAAACGACAGTGGGAGGCCTGGGGAGCTTTTGGGGGGGGATAAAGAGATCAACCGAAGGACTTTTATGCATGCATATAAGGTTACCCAATGGACACAAGACACGGGGCGGGGGGGGGGGGGCGGTAGGTAGGGGCCGGGGGAATGTCAAGGGGGGGAAAAAAGGAGACATATGTAATACTCTTTGTAATAATTTAAGAAATAAAAATTATTTAAAAAAAAAAAAGATTTGTTCTGGAGATGCAAAGGCAAATGCCTATCCTGTGTCAGCACTTTCAGCTTCAAATATATCATTTAACTGAACGTGAAAAAAGGTGCTGCTGAACATGTGCTAGTGCAGCAGACAAGTGAGCTTTTTTCCATGCCCCTTCTCCTTTCTGCCTCTCCCTTCTCAAAGTACTCCATGAAAGGTTGTATTTTGATAAAGCCTTTTAAAAAAAAGTATTGATGACAATAAAATAATAATGTGGGGGGTTCCGCCCAGTGCTTCAAGACAAGGAGCTCCCTCACTAGAGAGGGGCACTGCTTCCCTTGCCCACTTTGATAGCAACCTGGCTGCCTCCACTGTCAGAATTGCCACTTGTTGGTTTTGGGATTCCCTGAGATAGTTTCTAGCCATGGTATGTCGTTTACATGGAGAATCAGGTTAGCTTCCCAGGTTATCAACTGTTGTTTTTATTAGCATTCTTATAAAGTTGCACAGGTTTTAAATGGTCAGCCCTAACCCCATTTTTCCTAAAAACCCTATTATTTTTAGCATACTATTTTACAGAATGTGAGGTTTTTTTTTAGGAAGACATATATCACATTAAAGCTGAAATGTTTATGTCTAAGAACTTAATTTACTTCACTTATGTCTCCCATTCTCAGCAATGAAGAATTATGAACCATGACAACAAAGTAAGAAGTAATAGAGAAGACATGTTTTAGCAAGTTGTTAATATAACATCAGATGCAATAGAAATTTGAAATAATTTCTATCAATAAAGATACTATTCTTTTTTTGGGGTGGGGGGAGTTAATCCTCACTTGAGGATATTTTTCCATTGGTTTTTTATTTTTTATTTTTTTATTTTTAAAATATATTTTATTGATTTTTTTACAGAGAGGAAGGGAGAGGGAAAGAGAGTTAGAAACATCGATGAGAGAGAAGCATTGATCAGCCGCCTCCTGCACACCCCCTACTGGGGATGTGCCTGCAACCAAGGTACATGCCCTTGGCTGGAATCGAACCCGGGACCCTTCAGTCTGCAGGCCGACGCTCTATCCACTGAGCCAAACCAGTCAGGGCGTTTTTTTTTTTTTTTTTTAGAGAGTGGAAGGGAGGGCGAGAGACAGAGAGAGAGAGAAACATCAGTGTGAGAGAGATACATTGATTGGTTGCCTCCCACACATGTGTGACCAGGGCCTGGGATTGAGCCTGCAACTGAGGTACAATCCTTTACTGGAATTCGAACCCAGTATGCTTCTGTCCTAGGGCCAACACCCTATCCACTGAGCCAAACTGGCTAGGGCTAAAGATACTAATTTTTTTTTAATAATTAAAAAAAACTTTTAAAGTATTTTTACTGATTTCAGAGAGGAAAGGAAAGAGAGAAAGATAGAAACATTAATGATGAGAATCACTGATTGGCTGCCTCCTGCACACCCCCTACTGGGGATCAAGCCCGCAACTGGGGCATATGCCCTTGACCGGAATTGAACCCTTCAGTCCACAGGCAATGCTCTATCCACTGAGCCAAACCAGCTAGGACTAAAGATAATATTCTTGAAATACTACTCACAGAGCCTTATTTGTGATATTTTTCTCTAATAATTTGATGTTAAAGTATTTACTAAAGGGCCAACTACAGGAGATCTCATCACAAATGAAAGGACAAACAGGTGAAAACATTAGAAACCACAGTCCAAAAGGAAGACATCACAACAATACACTGGATTAAAACTGATTTCATACAAGAACTTTTTCCTCCAGTCACTAACAATATTCTCTATAATACCAAGTGGATTGTGAAAGATTCATAAATTAAAATTTAAAATCCTGTAAGAAAAGCCAAATGGCAATAAACTGTAGCTAATATGCACTCTGGTAAGATAAATGAAATTAAGTACCCTAATGAACAGATAAAGATGATTATTTTGCAAAATGTCAATTAAAAGTATTCAATAAAGGTGTCATCTGCTTGGCAGGTATCAAACATTTCCAAGTTTCTTACCTCTAGAAATACTTTCTAACATTTTATTCTTGTTGACGTAGACAGATCCTGTGGGGGATATTTTTTCTGGCAAATGTTGCCTTTCCTGTTCAGCTGTTATGACATATGGGCAGTTTTCTTTTTGCAAACTATCCATATCTAAATCAAGTCTCCGTTTAACTTTCTCAAAACTGTTATCCAAAAATTGTCCATTTCCACAGGACACTGTAGGGGTGTCCATCTGCTGTCTGGCATTCTGGTTTTGCATTAGTAAAGGAGATGGGTTTTTTACATCATAAGACTTATTCAGTTCCATTTGTAAACTGCAGCTTTTCTCTAACACACTGGCTGACTTGAGTCCACTCATGGTTCCAAAGTTTTGACTTGCTATACATGGACCAGTGGTATATGGTTCATGCAAACTTGGCATTGCAGTACTTGTACTGTCCATTTTGTGTGGAACTCTTCCATCAGATGTTAATTGACCTTCCACAATAGCAAGTCCATGAATAACTTTATTTTCTAATTGATTTCCTGAAGATTGACATACCTGATTTGAATTACTTAGAACCATTTCTTGTATAGCTTCAGATGTATTTTTGCTGACGTAAACCTTGCTTGAACAAACTCCTGTTAAATCAGTTGGTAACTTTGGCACCGTTTCAGGTACGCTTGTTTTTTCATCAGTATCTTGAACAACTAAGTCTACTGTCTGTTCTTTTCCTTTAGGACTTAACTCACAGGCATTTACTGGATTATTTATAAGTATATTATATGCTGATGATGGCCTAGAACGCCTTCGATGCATTTTAGGACTCAGGCTTGGCTCTGGGCTAGGTAATTTGGCATATGAACTAGTAAGACTTTTGATAACATTATTTTCAGTAACAAAAGTGGGAATGACTTTAAAATCAGAATCAGGATCTGAAACAGTGGGGTGGCCAGTTCCCACAGCTATGTCTGCTTTAGAAAAACTACCCGAAACTGCTGTGTTCATGCTGCTTGCTTGAGCGGAAGCACCTTGGAGAAGAACATTTGATTTATTAAGGCTTGGTTTATCAGGAATCACTGAACTACAGTGTTTGCCCATAAACTGGGTCTTCTCCTTTACACAGTCAGTTACTTTAACGGCATCATTTTCTTTGTCTGAATGACTCTCATTAACACTTCCCTTTGCACTATTTCTCAGACTGCGTCTAGATTGTTCTCTCTCTATATATTCCTTTGACTTTTTCATCAGCTTCTGGAGACTCATTAAGTAGGGATCCGGAGTAACTTCTTCCAAAAGTGATGGATCCTGTTCTTCATTTTTTGGGAGGAGACCACCAGAAATAAGAGTCTCTTGTGGGGTTGCTGAGGTCTTCAGAGAAGTTTCATTTTCTGTACGACCAATATTTGAACTACCACCTTGCTTCAGAAAATTAAATTTTTCAGAATCCCTAGCTAAGTCTATTCCATTAGATTTAAATTGGTCCTCATTATTCAATGGCAAAATTCCAGTTAACTTTTCAAACTTTGCTAAAGTAGAGTGTTCAGTAGAGCTTGGCAAGGTATTTGGAAAGGTAGCAGGAACATTCAAGTTTCTGACTTCTGAATTAGAGTAAACTGTTTCATCCTCCCACTGATCAAAATCACTGGCATTAGGTGCTTTTCTAACCTGAAAAATGAAATTTAAAAAGTAATAATTCCTCATTGCAAACAACACCTTTGATTTTATTGTTTTCTAAATAAAACTAAAATTTAAAATTCAGAGTTCTAATATTTGAAAACACAAATAAAGACTAAGATTACCTTTTTCTATGGTATCCTATACCACATGGAGCTCAAATTACTATAAATATAATCTAGTGGTCATTACTGCCTATTTATTAAGATTTTTTAAAAATTATCTATTCTGGTAAATTTATGAACATATGTGCATGTGTAAACACACACACACAGATATTCATATATCCATGTGCAATGTAATCTTGGAATAGAAGCATTTTCCTTAACTTTCTTCTGGTTATATGTTATTAATGTTACCAACTATTCCACCTATAAGAGCTATCATTTAAGGATAGCAATATATAAGACAAGTAGCAAGTCGTTAAATTTATTACACAAATGATTCCCTCCTTAACAAAGACTAACTTACCCTGGATAGTGACTAAGAAAAAACAATTCAGTAATAAGACACCTATCTCCCACATACTTACTCCAAATTTTAACTAAAATCCATCTATGTAATGAGATAAATTTGTAGTAAGTGATAGCTCAGCCATGTAGCTTAAATTACTTATAAACAAGAAAAAATTCAACTTCAAACCCAATTTATTAAAGAAAATTTCAATTTGATTAACTGATGATCATTTAAAACAGAAACCTGTTATTGAGTTTTAGAAGAAACAAAATAAGTAAAAAATTGATAAATTAAGATGAGAGCAATTATGTACACAAGAAATCCAACAGAAAAAAATAAAATTCCATTTTGTATTTAAATAATTCAACTTTGCAAAAAAATTAAAAGTGAACTAGGATGGTTTCTAAAGATTATACAAGCATATATTAAACTGGCAGAAATCATTATTATACTATGTGAATATAGACTCCAGAATCATGATTACGGAAAGATTTTCAGGTTGTTTTGCATGTGTTGTTCCCTAGGCCATATGGCACTCCTGTTTGACTGTACAAATCCCAAGACATACTAGTATAATGGTTTCCAGGTACTATGCAATAAACAGTACAACAAGGTGTACTCAGGACCAAAATAAAACAAAAGAACTACATATTCATGAAGTCTATGGACATATTCATAGGTTTAATGTTTTTCGTATACACCTAACATGAGCCTTTGGTTACATGATTTAAATAACAAAAAAAATTTATGATAGAATCATAAGTTTTAAAGATGAGACAGATCTTAGAAATCTATTTTTAATATATAAAATGTCTCTACCTGCATAATTCATTACAGTTCAACATTATACATGCTCTATTAAACATAGAAAGTTTTCAGACTCAACAATAATCTCTTTAGTAATATATATGATATATTCCCTCAATGGACCAAGAATGATAGACCATTTTTATTTCAATAATAAAAAATATCAAATTCAAAAACCCAACCTTATTGTGCTACACATTATATATTTTAAACTTAATATATGAAGTAATTATAATCTGCAAATTAAAATCTACTACCCACAGAGAAATGAAAGTAGCTAGCTGTTAATGGGAAATATTCTAAAAATTCATTGTACATTCTTGGAATAGAAGCAAACCACAAATCCTTAAGAATATGGGGGAAAAAAATGTAACCAGCAAAACAGTGCTATATATGGCAGAAATTATTTGTTTAATCAAATTCATTTATTTTCTTTTAGTATAAAATGATCCAGACCTTAAAACAAATTGTTTAAACAAATTTATATTAAACTAAATAAAAATAATTACAAAAAGTATGGATCAGTTGTTTGAATGGTTTTAATATGGACCTAAGATGCATCTAGGCAATTAATTCTATTTATCTAATCTAAATTGCATTTGTGTATCTAAGAGCAGAATTTTTACCCCCAAAATTGGGGGCAGTTATTTTAACGAAGAATGAGAATAAGATAATTGAGTCAATAGTTTGATTAATTCAGAGGTAAAGTACAATGGACCATTCTATCATTTTGTCACTGAGAATTCCATGTTTTTAGAGTCATAGGACACATACAAGAAGCAATTATATCCAATGTATGACTCCATTGTATTTGTACCCTCTGACTCAAGTACTGGTCATCACTAACAAGCAAGTGAATTTTCTTTGGAATAATTGAAATGGAATATCACAAATTATGAAACTTCTCAAACAGAACATAAAGTATATTGGTAATTAACTATTAAGTGCAAACATATATATGAAAAATTATCTTCAATTCTTAGCTCATGATTTCTTAATTATAACTGAATAGAGTTTAAATTACACACCTGAACATTTTCAAGAATCTCCTGGACACGAGTCAGTAAAGCTTTCTTCCTATTAACCTGCTTTCTTGCTTCTACATCAAGTGCTTTTTGCTTTTCTTGTTGCATTTCCTTTCTTTTCTCAACATTAAGCTACAAAACATAATAAATAAGGATTTCTCATAAACATACAAATAGCATAAAACCAGTAAGTTTTGAATCAGAGTGATTAAAACTATAGAGAAAGAAATCTGAAATGGTTCAGGGTAACTGACAGGGATCAGTGGTGATGAAAATGTTCTGTGTGGGTGTGAGTTATACAAGTGTACACCATATATTAATATCCATGGAACTTTAATACCTAAGATTTGTGCATTTTAATGTAGGTAAATTATTCTCAACTAAAAAAAAAGTTAAAAGGAAAAAACACACCTTCTCAAATACTCTAAAATGAGTTATAAAATCAGCCCTTTTGGCCACTGCTGATCTTTTCACTTGGCAATACCTTACTTCAATGGGTCAGTTAGATTCTAATATTCTAAAAAAAGTACATTTTAACTTTTTTCTACCTCAAGAAAATATCCAAAGGGTTAATGATAAAGAAATAGATGATATTTTATTTGCCTACAAAATCAGTACGCAGATTTGGTTCTACTTCATTGTAACCTCCACTAAAAATATAATGTACCTAAAAAACTGAAGGCTTCTATGCATTATATCTTTTTACAGTGGGTTTAAATCTTAATTATTAAGTTCTGGGAAATTTAGTCACTGTGTTAAGGAGTTAAGACTTATTTTAGACTTATGCAAATGAAAAACATGTTATAAAAATTTTTCCAAAGTTGCAATATTCATCCATCAAATCTATAATAACAAAAGGGAAATATGCTAATTAGACCAGATGTCTTCCCGGTGTCATTCTGGATGTCCTTCCTGATGAAGCCGGGGCCGGAGGGAAGCCAGCTGGGTCCCAGGTGCCTGCCAGTGGCGGCCGAAGGAGGGTAGCTAGTGCTGGCAGTGGGGGAAAGGAAGGCCTACTCTTGCATGAATTATCGTGCATAGGGCCTCTAGTATAACATAAAAACATGGATTAAAAACAAAAACATGGATTAATGTCCATAAATATCAGATTTTGCTTATAAATAAGTAGCTGATGGAGTCATAGATCCTAAGCTGTTAAGGTGTAGACATTTTGGTCCATATTAAACTGATCAAGCAATATGTCATCAAGTAGCTGATAAAAATGTTATAAAATTTTTCTTATTTGCATGGTATCAAAGAATCATTCCACCCTTGCTAATAAAATCATTCCATTTACTTGCTAATAAAAAAGGGGAAAGAAGATACCTTTAAAGAATCATCTGATAGGCACCACTATAAAAACAAGTATTCAAACTGAACATCAAACTAGAGGAACTAGATATTTTGTAACTTCTGATTTAATTTACTATGAAATACGTGGCATCATCTCCAAACAATTCTTACCCAAAACGTTTAACCTACTCTAATCAAACTTTTAGACTTAATTTCCAGTTTATAGGAACTATAGTGACTAGAGGGCAAGTTAAACATCACCATGAAGGAAACAACTAGACAAATCCAAAATGTAAGGTACTCTACAAGATAACTGCTTTGGTCTCTTTAAAAATTCACTATTAATTTTTTTTTAAGAGGTAGAGGAACTGTTCCAGATCAAAAGAGATTAAAAATTGTAACAAGCAAATGTTATTTGTGAATTTTGACTGGATTCAGATTTTTAAAAGTTATAAAAGACATTTTGAGCGCAAATTGGGAAATCTGAATACGAAAAGAATATTAGATGCTTTTAAAATTATTATTGTCTTAAGGTATGATAATGGTATTGGGATTTTATATAAGAGAATATCCTTATTCTTAGAATATATATACTAAAATACCAGTTGGGACAAAAGTAGGTTTACAATTATGAGTACGTGAAACAGAGTTTATTCCTTTTGTTATTTATTAATTATATTATTTTCCATACAAACAACTGTAAACCTACTTTTGCCCCACTCTGTATTTAGGGGAGAAGTGTTATATATCTGCAATTTTCAAATGGTTCAGCAATAAGACAAAAAGAGTAGGTAAATATAAACACACACATACATATATAAGATCATACACACAATAAAGCAAAGATGGCAAAAATGTTAAAAAACTGTTGAATCTAGTGATATATGGGTAGTCATTGTATTACCCTTTCAACTTTTCTGTATGTTTGAAAATTTCATTACAAAAAGTTGGCAGAAAATACTGATCTTTTAACTACTGTTATACACACACAAAAATTTGAACTCTTTCAATCATATTAATTTTAACATAAAATCACATACATTTAAAGGGTTTATGATGAAAAATGTGTCTTCCCTCTCATCTTATATTTCCTTACCCCTCTCCAGAGAAAGAATACAATAGCCTTATTTAAAAATCCAAACAGTTAACATATATTAAGTTCCTTCTATGATCTAAATACTGTTCTGAGCATTTTAAATGTATTAGTTCATTTAATCCTCAAAACAGCCCTATGAGGTAGGCATTATTTTTATCCTAATTTAACAAATAAAGAAAATGGACCTGCAAGTTCACAAAGCAGGTAAGTGGCAGAGCAATGATTTGAACCCAGGCCAGAAGGCACCACAGGTGGACTTTAAACCACTATTCCACACTGTCTCCAAGAGCAGGCTGTGTGCAATGATTTACGGTAGCTCATGGAGATCCTTCCATGTCCACACATTTAGGTCTACTGTACTCATTTTAATGGCATGTATGAGATTCTATAAGATGAATCATAGTTAAACTAGTCCACTACTGATGGACAGGTTGTTCATCAGTCTTTTGCTATTTTAAAGAATGCTACCATAACCTTATGAATTGGCTCGGTGAATAGAGCGTCGGCCTGCGGACTGAAAGGTCCCTGGTTCGATTCCGGTCAAGGGCATGTACCTTGGTTGCGGCCACATCCCCAGGAGGGGGTGTGCAGGAGGCAGCTGATCAATGCTTCTCTCTCATCGATGTTTCTAACTCTCTATCTCTCTCCCTTCCTCTCTGTAAAAAATCAATAAAATATATTAAAAAAATTAAAAAAATAAAGAATGCTACCATAACCTTATGAATATTTCTTTGGACAGTTAGATGAGAACATAATTGTAAGATATTCCCAAAATGGAATTGCTGAGTCAAAGGTTATGTACACTTTTAAATTCTGATAAACACTACCAAATTGCTCACCAAAAAATAAAATCAACTGATTCTCTCAGCAAAAGTGCTCTTTCACCACAACCTAAGGAACATTAGGTCCTAATCAGATCTTTGCCAATATAATAGGCAAAAAAAACCCTAATTCATTTGTATTTCTTTAGTTATAAATAAATTAGGCATCTTTTTGATGTTTATAAACCTTTCTTTTATTTTTCCTGTGAAGTGCCTAAATGGTTCATTATAGAAAAAAGGTTATTTAAAATCAAAGAATGTTTACCAGTGGAGAAAGCACAGCCACTCCATGGAAGCGAATAAGTGAAATGCTTTCAGACTGAACAGGTAGAAAGCTCTCTGTGGATAGTGATGCCTTTTGGATTCTGGCAAGACTTTTCTCACAGAACTTCTCATATTCCTCCATCTTCCCACAACCACACTGCAAAAAGAGAAAAATGTCATTTTTAATGTGCTGAGAAAAATAGATCTTAATTATTTGGCAAATTTTTTGGAGCACTAAAATATTAATTTTTCACTGATCAGGAGCGAATTCTTAAGTATAGGTAAGGGGCTCAAGATCCTACCCAGTTAAGGCTTACATTACGTAGTAAATATTTCTGAACATTTGCATGCAAATCAATCTTTAAATGTGATTAGTTTAGAGAAGTATTAAGAACTTAGCAGTGAAACCTACTTGAAGGACACAAAGTTCTCTACCACTTTACTAACTTTAGATTATAAAATAGAATATATTTTCTTTAGCAGGACTTAGCTACACAGCACAAGAAAAACTAAAGTATACATTTAAATTTAAAAAGTTACCTCTTTAAAAAAAAAAAAAAAGTTACCTCTTTTAAAAACTCTTTTTTTATCATGGAGTTCAAAGTCTATTACTTGCATATTTTAAAAATATATTATGACTCCATCATTACTAGCCAAGCCAGTCAGCAATAGAAAACAGAAAACCTATTGACTCTCGTAATAATTCTATTTTATTATTGAAAATTGGAACCATTGCCAAACTACTTAAAATAATCAGCCCAGTAACTTCACAATTTCTGGAAATTGTTATGGTGGCCATGAAAATACAAGGTAACCAGGAAGGATTAGCCACCATATTCATTCATCAAGCAAGCGTTAAATATTTGATTGCCTGTTTCCATAGCATTATGTCCAACATTGTTTCCTTTAAATAAACAAGGACAAATGAAAAAAGAGACATCATGAGGCTCATAACCGACAAGGGAATGAACTATGAAAACAGAAAAACTAATACAATAATGTTCCTTTAAGTGTTCATTTTAAAGAAATTAATTAATTAACAAAAAAAGAAAGAGGGTAAGGAAATTTAATTCATGATGTAGGATATACAAAGATGAAATAAGATAAAATATGATACTGTCCTAAGTCTCAAGGTACTTAAAAATTCAGTACACTAAAGTGTCAGGGACAAAATATAGCACAATTAGAAATGAAGAAAAGGCATATTCAAAATTAGGATTAGATGATAAAAAATAAGATATGTTGCTACTTTTGACTAACTGGTAGTCTTAATAACTTCTTCCTATAATCCCATCAATTCTACTTGTTTCTATATTCAACTTATGCAAAGTGAGAGTTTAACTTCAGAGAAATGGTTCTCTTGAGTTGAATGAGGTTATTTTTCAAACTTATATTCATAAAACAAGCAAAAGTAAAAAACAAAACCAACACCTTACTGCATGATAACCATAATAATACCTCAATTTTTAGTCTAAATTTCAACCCATATTATGATATCTTAACAACCAAATATGCAGAAGCTAAGATGTAAGAGAAATTCAAATAACCCCACTTCTACTAAAATACTTCAAAGTATGTAATGCATCCAGCATTACAGGGAACATAAATAGATTACTTATATAATCAATGTAACATATTTCCTATGAATACACACGCAAAGCATGAAATTCCATTTTAAAGGTCTGGGAAATTTAAGGAAATAAAATGGTTTTATGGCAATAGTTTTATTTTTCTTTCAACAACGTCATATAGATATGCCTCACTGTTTCAGAAAATTAAATCCATATCCCTTAAACAGTACATGCATGTCATACAGATTGCAGATGTACAGTAATTTATTATTATAACAGTGTAACTTATGGCATATGATAATGCATAAAATATCCTAATACAAGTGCTAATACGATTATGGAAATCACCAAATGATCCCAGAAGAACCTGACTGGATCCTTCTTATCCTTCAGTCTCGGCTTGTAGGTCTCCACCTTTGAAAGGCTGTCCCTTTAAATTAGTCCAGTGTCCGTCACTGCCACATTGCACTGCTGCTTTCCAATTTTCATGGCACTTACCACTATCTGAAATTATCTTGTTTATTTCCTTGGCTTTTGTCTGTCTTCCTCCACCAAATCGTAAGCTCCATAAGCACAGGTACTTTCCGAGTCTTGCTCACGGCTGAATCCCCATGACACAGAACAGTGTAGGCAACACAGTAGCACTTGATAAAAAAGTATTGAATAAATAAATATTAGGGTAATAAGCTCAAACAATAATGTAAACCAGAAAAAAAGCTAGTAAGGCAGAATGGACTTTGGAGAACGGTAGTTTCACGGATGACTGTATTTTCAAAGAACCTGGAACCTCTAAATTGCAAAGGCAACCCATTCAAAAAGTGAGCATCCGTATCCTATGTGATTAAGCAAGAGGGCACTTCCTCTCTCACAACACAATTATCTGTCAGCAGGGTTTTATTTTAAGGGAGCCTTGACTACAAGGCCACTCCAGCCACACATCTTCCGCCCCACACTTGGCCATCAGGCATTACTGGCCCACTGGAGCTAGTGATCTGCCAGCTGCCTCAAGTTCAGACATGCCTCATCTTCTGCATTTATACCAGGACCCTTCTCCAAGTAAGCCTCTGCGAACCCCAGACGCATGGCCAGGCTAGCTGCTCCTCACCAGTGCTCTGCCAGAAACGTCAGATCTGGCTTTGCTTTCAGATTCTAATCTAGCTGGTTGGTTGCCCGCCAACCCTCCCAAGACATACACTTCTTCTTCTTCTTCTTCTTTTAAAAAAAAAAAAAATTTTATTGATTTTTTTACAGAGAGGAAGGGAGAGGAATAGAGTTAGAAACATCGATGAGAGAGAAGCATTGATCAGCTGCCTCCTGCACACCCCCTCCTGGGGATGTGCCCGCAACCCAGGTACATGCCCTTGACCGGAATCGAACCTGGGACCCTTCAGTCTGCAGGCCGACGCTCTATCCACTGAGCCAAACCGGTTAGACCCAACCTGTGGGTCGCGAACAATGAAAATACATCCTGCATATCAGATATTTACATTACGACTCTTAACAGTAGCAACATTACAGTTATGAAGTAGCAACGAAAATAATTTTATGGTTGGGGGTCACCACAACATAAGGAACTGTATTTAAAGGGTCGCGGCATTAGGAAGGTTGAGAACCACTGGGTTAGGGCGACATACACTTCTTATGGCGGCATTGACGGGGAAGGTTTCTTAGGCTCATACTAGCTGTGAGCTCTTGGCAATTCACTCACCATCGCCAGGACTCAGAATCATCTGTAAAACAGGGATAACCCCATCGGTCTCCAAGGGATGCTGCGAGGGTAACTGGTGGTACTAGTCTCCTGCGGGACGTGCAGGAAGCATCAATACGTGGGGGCTGCTTTTATTATGCAGATGACGATCTGAGGATGATGATGTTTATCGCTGCCCTATGAACTGGAGGGCAGTGACAGTGCCTGGCTCCTAAGACTCAAAGGAACTTAGAAACGTGGAGAGCCGGACAACGGCTTCCGCTTTTGGCTGTTTCCAGACCCTTCCCCCATTAAATCGATCTGTAGCACCTGCCATTTGCCTAAATTCGGGATAGGGAGCTGGGATCAAAACCAGATAGAAGCAAAGAGCGGGATCCACCTGACAGCACCAGGGGCAATCAGGACACTTTGCTTTATTACCCTCCTGCCCCAGAGGGTCCTAGGGCGCCTGGTCGTGGTAACCGCGTTCAGACGTGGCCAGTGCACACCCCGGGGACTCCTCCCTCGCCAGCACCGCAGGGAGAAGAAAAAAGGCCCATTTCTGTCCATACGAGGTGGTTCTCCGGCTCGAGCCGGAGTTTATGAACCCGGACCCTCTGCTCTCACCCCAGCGCCCCACGCCCTTCTCCCTGCGATGCGACTCCATCCCGAGGGCCCGCGAGGCAGCGCCAGCATCCGAGCATCACCTGCGCGCCCCATGCCGCCGGCGCCCGGGCACCGCCTCCCCACACCCGCGCCTTTCCAGGGGCTCGAGGCCCGGGAGCCCGGCGCTGGCGCTCGGTTCCGTACAGAGCCCGCCCTCAGCTCCTGAGGCGCCAATGCCGCCTCTCCGGTGGCCCCGCCGCAGGGATCCTCGGAGTCAAGCCCCCTCAGCACGTGCACACCCGATCTCCCACGGCCCGGTCACCTTTCGTTCCCTCACCACGGGCCTTGTCAGGAAGCAAACGATTCAACTGGTACTGAAAGAGAGCAGCTCGGTCCACCGCCGCCTTCTCCTCCTCCTCCCGGCCATATTATCGGTCTCAGGCGGCAGCGCGGGCTCCAGGCAACGGCCGCCGCCGCCCGGACTCCACCTCTCAGGGCCGGCACTTCCGGTAGTTGCTTCCCGGGCCGTTGAAACGGTTGGGCCACCAGGAAACTACAATTCCCGAGGTGCATTGCGCGCTTGCGTTCTGGCCCAGTGATAGAGGGCGTAGTACTTATGAGAGCGCAATATACGATGGGAAGTGTAGGCTTCACAGCAAGCTAAGGCCTCTACTATAATTTATTAGAATGGGAACGCTTCTTTTTTTTTTTTTTAATGTGTGATCGTTGGAAAACATGACATTCATCGAAATTTTTTTCTGTAAATATAATATTGCAGAATCCTAGATGCCAACTCTCAAATTTAAGACATCCTTTACCCTTTTGCAAATCAGTGGGAAAATAATGTCTGAGAAAGGTAACAGGTTCAAGACGACAGGAAAAGCCCGAATGTTTTAGCAAAGTTCTCTATCTAAACATGTTACCGGCTTTTCGAAATATGATGTAGTGGCCTCTTTCATTTCCTAACTCGGTTTTACTTCCTGCCTCCTTCCTGTGCATAGTTTTACATATGTAAAATGAGAGTTTTAAAAATGACTGTCACAAGGGTTGTTATGAGGAACAACATAATTCTTTCCACTATTGGCCCTTAGCAGATGGAGAAGCAAGGTTAGGAGGAGGAGTAACGGTAGAGAAGTCACTGGGGTGGCTTCATGTCAGTCCAGACTGCCATTTAGTGTCCTATTCACTTCACTTCTCCTGGCCTCAGTTTCCTCATCTATGAATTGAGTGAATCCTTAAGATCCCTCCCAGCTTTATAATTCACTTAGAGAAACGATGCATGAAAATTCATGCACTTGGGTGTAGGGGGAGGTGTCCTTCAGCCCAAACTGTGCCCTCTCACAGTCTGGGACCCTTGGGATGTCCACCTGCAGGCTTAGGCCCGCTCCCCGGGGGATTGGGCCTAAGCTGGCAGTCAGACATCCCTCTGGCAGCTTCGGGGAGTAGGCCTAAGCCGCTGTCAGACATACTTAGTGCTGCGGTGGAGGCGGGAGAGCCTGGAACCACTCGACTTGCAGCCATCAGCCCTGCTTGTGGCTGAGTGGAGCTCCCCTTGTGGGAGCACACTGACCAGCAGGGGGCAGCTCCTGTGTTGAGCATCTGCCCCCTGGTGGTCAGTGCACATCATAGTGACCTGTTGTTTGCGGTTAGGGTCATTTTGCATATTACCCTTTTATTATATAGGATTATTATATAGGATTATGCCTCCTTTTGCTATGCTCTTTCATTCCGTCCAAATCTGAAGAATTCTTTAAAAAACATTTTTATTGATTTTAGAGAGGAAGGGAGAGTGAGAGAAACATCAATGATGAGAGAGAATCATTGATTGGCTGCCTCCTGCACACCCCCTACTGGGAATAGGGCCCACAACCTGGGCACATGTCCTGACTGGGAATCCAACCTTGACTTCCTGGTTTATAGGTCGACATTCAGCCACTGCCCCACACCGACCAGGCTGAAAAATCCTTCTAAAGTCGAGTGGTTCCAGTTTCCTGAGATAATGCCTACCCAATGACACTGTTGTGAGAATATATGATGTAATGCATGAAGCATTTGCTCACACATAATCTGGAGCATGCTAGGTGCTCTACACATGTTAGCTGTACTCGACACTATTATTTACCCCCACGAGAATGTAAGCCCCAGGAGAGCAGGGACCCCTTGGGTCCTGTTCACGGCTGTGTCCTGAGCACCGGGATTGGTGCTCGGCACACCTTGAATTGAACTGAATAGTCGAAAGCGTCCTGCCCCTTCCAGGCTCCCAGGGCAGTGTCCTCGAGGGCAGAATGAAGGAGTCATTAAGAACCCGTGCAGTCGTGCAACCGTACAACGGCTCTTGCACCCCTCTCCTTCTGGGGTCTGAAAGCCGGGCTGATGTCCAGACCCCAGAATCACCCCAAAAGCGCTTTTGGGACGCGAGCCTGGGACCTGGGCCCGCCTCCGAGGCCACCCAGAGGCTCCGCCCCCGACCTCTGGAGGTCCCCGGCCCTGATTGGCTGGGCTGCAGGCTCCTCTCCGGATGTGACCGCCGCCGCCGCCGCCATTGCGCGGCGCTGTAACCCTTGAAGGGTGCTCCTGCGGTGAGTGCCTTGACTTCTTGCCCTTGCTTCTCGCTCTCCTATCCCGGGAGCCCGGCGGGTCCGGGATTCCCTTCCGTGCCGGTGCGGGCGCCGGCATGTGGCTGTGGGAGACACAGGGGGGCCTCCTGGGCCCCTTCTCCTTCCTGCTGCTGCTGTTCCTGCTGGTGACGCGCAGCCCCTGCAATGCCTGCCTCTTCACCGGCATCCTCTACCTCCTGCTGCGCCTCTTCAGCTTCGAGCCTCTGCCCGCGCGCCGGGCCCTGCAGGTGCTGCAGCCCCGCGACCGCGTCTCCGCCATCGCCCACCGCGGCGGCTGCCACGACGCCCCCGAGAACACGCTGGCGGCCATTCGGCAGGTGAGACCCCAGCCGCCTCGCGCGCCTCCTGGGAGCTGGGACTGCTTCCTGCGTGTCTTTTCCGAAGGTTCCCTCGTCTTCTCACGATTGCCTTCCTTCCCATAACCCCATTCGTCCGCCGGGAAGACATTGAAGTGGCCCTCGATCCCTTTGACGTCTGGCAAGCCTCCCGACTTCAAGTATTTATAGAACCCAGCGAGTACGCTCATGTTTGCCAGGTGCCAGGCGCTGAGCATGCAGTCATGGACAAGACAGAAAGCCACCTGGCTTTTACAGAAGTTGCATTGGAGTCCAGGAGACAGGCCTTAAACACGTAAATACATACATGAGAGTCTTTAAGAGAGCGAAAATGCAATGGAGAAATAGGGTAATGGGATAAAGAATGACTGTTAAGACGTCCGCAGATGTAAGCTCTTTAGGTCAAGAATCAATAGATTAGGTCACTTTATGGCCTTTGTATTCTGCTTGGAACATTCTTCCCCTGGATCTTCATATGGTTGACTTCCTTTTATCTATTATGGTCTCAACTCAAATGTCATTTTCTTTTTTTTTTCTTTTTTTTTAATATTTTTCATTGATTTCAGAGCTAGTGGGAAAACAGTCTGACAGTTCTTCAAAAGGTGAAACATAGAGTTACCGTATGATCCAGCAATTCCACTCCTAGGTATATACCCAAAAGAATTGAAACGTAAAAATTTGGATACGAATATTCGTAGTGTTATTCATAATAGTCAAAAAGTGGAAACAACAAAAGTGGTCCATCAGTTGAGGAATGGATAAATTGAATATGAAAAGAATCCGTAAGAGTAGCTGTTGGTTGCCTTGAGTGTTTATATTAGAAAATGACACTTGACATTAATATTGTTGATGTTTTTGTTAAGGCAGCTAAGAATGGAGCCACAGGCGTGGAGCTGGACATTGAGTTTACCTCTGATGGGGTTCCCGTCTTAATGCACGATAACACAGTGGATAGGACGACAGATGGCACTGGTCGAATATGTGATTTGACATTTGAACAAATTAGGAAGCTTAATCCTGCAGCAAATCACAGATTAAGGTAAGTTGTTGATTGTCTCTTAAACATATCTTCAGCTTTTGTTGGAGATGACAGACACTGGCATCTCCAAGCACATTTTCTGCTCCAGGAGAGTTGTTGGGTTGTGTTTTATGTTGAACTGTCTACAGGTTTCCTAAGTAATTAGCAGGTGCCAGGAACAGCAGAAATGGATGTTTTTAATCTTTTCCCACTGAGGCCAAATTTGGCCTCGGAATTATTCTTAAGACAATACTCTGTCTTAGTCACTAACATGACAATTGCGTTGTACTGTCATATAAATTATATATATACAGGGTGTTCCCCAAAAATGTATACACACTTTAACAGCTGATAGCTCAGTTTTGAAAAATGAAATGTATTTAATAAACACTGCCTTTGTAATTATTCAAAGCATGTGTATATATTTTTGGGGGACGCCCTATATATATGTATATCAAAACTAGTCCTATACGATGTTCTCCAAGAAAAGGGCTCTACGATCAAGTAAAATCAAACACTGTACTCTAGTTGTTCCTCCTGGGAAATAGTCCATGTCAGTCCATTCTTACCTTTAATTTAGTGTTTCTCAAATGTTTATGACCATAGAACCCACACTCTTCCTACCATTAACAACTATAAACACCTTGGGATTGGTATGCTGGGAAATAAGATACTTTGGAATGTGGTTATTTAAGTCCTTCTCCTCTTGTAATACTGAAAACTGTGCTTACTGTTATTATGTCGTATCAGTTCTCTGGACAATGATGAGTACTACTTGAATACTGAGTATTCCACCCTATGGTTAAGTTAAATTCCTCCCGAAAAGATGATTTAGACTGAATTTTCCTAGAATCGGAAAGAAATTCAAAGTCAGCCAAAGGAAATCATGTTTTAGTCTAGAAAGAATATTGTAATACTTGCAAGTTCTAAATCCAGTGGATACAGCGTCCGCCTGTGGACTGAAGGGTCCCGGGTTCGATTCCGGCCAAGGGTGCATGTGTTTAGGGCCCATGTTGTAGGAAAACTACTTATTTTCTCTATAATTACCCAATGTGATGTCATCCTGTGTGTCATTTTATTCAATGCCTATTTCTCACTCCAAGGAATAGGCACTGAATAGAATGGCTGGCAGAATTGCCTGTACTATTTCCTTTATCTTTATCTTTTTTTTTTTAAAAGCCAAGATCTTACAATTGAAATAATATAATTGAACTAGCATAAGTTAAATCATGTGATGTGAAACTTCATTATGTGAGAAAAGCTAATTTCTTAATATCTTGCACTTAACTTTCCTTTTTTTTAATCAGAAAATTTTGTATTAGAACATTATTTTAAACAGTTGTACTTAAATGAACAACATCAATGATGAGAAAGAATCATAGATTTATGTAATCCTAGGAATCTTTCCTGTAAAGGTTCTGTTAGGGCAATTACAATCTTTTTTTTTTTTTTTTAATATATTTTATTGAGTTTTTACAGAGAGGAAGGGAGAGGGATAGAGAGCCAGAAACATCAATGAGAGAAACATCGATCAGCTGCCTCCCGCACACCCCCCTGCTAGGGATGTGCCCGCAACCAAGGTACATGCCCTCAACAGGAATCGAACCTGGGACCCTACAGTTCGCAGGCCAACGCTCTGTGCCCTGAGCCAAACCGGTTAGGGCAAGGGCAATTACAATCTTAAAATTAAGTCTCTGAGTTTCCAAAGGTGGCATATATTCTGCCCTTTGTTGAGTAGAATTTCTACTTATATTGCTAATTCAGTGGAAATCCAGTGATTTCCTAAAAATTAAATGATTTTTTTTATTTTTATTTATTTATTTTTTTTGTTAAATATATTTTATTGATTTTTTACAGAGAGGAAGGGAGAGGGATAGAGAGTTAGAAACATCGATGAGAGAGAAACATCGACCAGCTGCCTCCTGCACATCTCCTACTGGGGATGTGCCCGCAACCAACGTACATGCCCTTGACCGGAATCGAACCCGGGACCTTTCAGTCCGCAGGCCGACGCTCTATCCGCTGAGCCAAACCGGTTTCGGCAAATTAAATGATTTTTGTTGTTGTTTCTGTTCTTTGGTCAGGAATATCTGTACTTTGGTTCAAGTCCGTATAGTAAATTACCCTTGAACTTTAGTGTAGTTAAGAAAGGAAGTTGGGGAAAACATTCTTTCCTTTTGTTTGGGAGACATTGTTTAAATGTCTGTTCCACTAAACTTGTGCTTGTTGTTTTTCCTGCAATGTACTATGCTTTTTCCCTCTCTGACAGGAATGATTTCCCTAATGAAAAAATCCCTACCCTGAGAGAAGGAGTTGTAGAATCCCTAAACCAAAACCTCACAATCTTCTTTGATGTCAAGGGCCATGCAAATAAGGTAAAATTTATACCATAGACTTTGCTTTTTAAAAAAGACATCTTTAATTAATGATTTTCAAAACTACATATTTTGTTATTTATTCTTAAATTATTTTTATAAATTATATTTGCTTAATGGACGTGTACAATGCAAAAATCCACATCTGTAAGGAAAACTGTAAATCACAGAACCTTTTTTTAACCTTTGATGGAACCTTTTAACAGCTGATATTCTACAAGTAGCATAACATAGAAGAGTCAGGTATTTCCAATTTGCATAAAGCATTTGCCAGAGATACGAAATAAATAGTAAGGAGGCACTTTTTAAACAGGAGTTGGACACAACCAGTTTCGTCTGGCTACTAAAGGTCTTAGATCAGTGGTTCTCAACCTTCCTAATGCCGCGACTCTTTAGTACAGTTCCTCATGTTGTGGTGACCCCCAACCATAAAATTATTTTCGTTGCTACCTCATAACTGTAATTTTGCTACTGTTATGAATCATAATGTAAATATCTGATATGCAGGATGTATTTTCATTGTTACAAATTGAACAAAAACAATATGTAATTATATATGTGTTTTCCGATGGTCTTAGGCGACCTCTGTGAAAGGGTCATTCTACCTCCAAAGGGGTCGTGACCCACAGGTTGAGAACCGCTGGACAACTATGGATGAAATTTAAAGCTTCTGATAGCTAATAGGATATTTTTTTGCACAGATTTAGCCCTTCTGTATGATTTCTATCTCTTATGTATAGTTTTGTTATTCTATGATTTGAATAGTTACTGGTATACTTGTGTCAGAAAATTACTATAATACTTTCAAATATGTATGACATTCCTATGTAAAATTTTGCTTATATTTTAGAACATACACTTTTACTCATGAAAACATATTGCAATGGAAAATAAATGGGAAAATGTAGTTCAGATAACATTTGTTCTTTTGTAATCAGCTTCTCAAGTACAAATACTTTTTCCACATTTGGGTAACTTGTGTATTTACCCCTAGCTTGTAATAGTTAGAATCAGTAATGGCCATCTACTGGTTTAGAATTCTGATGATGCCAAGTTTTAAAATTAATCCCAGGATACAATTGAAACCAGTTGTTAAAATCTGAAATATAAGCCACAGTATATATTCTAACTTTAGTATAGTAAATTCGTATTTTTTAAACATACATATTTTTATTGATTTCAGAGAGGGAGAAAGAGATAGAAACATTAATGATGAGAGAGAATCATTGACCAGCTGCCTCCTGCATGCCCCCTACTGGGGATCGAGCCCACAACCCGGGCATGTGCCCTTGACTGGAACCGAACCTGGGACCCTTCAGTCTGCATGCCAATGCTCTCTCCACTGAGCCATACCAGCTAGGGCTAGTAAACTCTTTTTGAAGAAAAAAGAGAATGGTGCTCTGGTTAATTTATTATTCTTCTAAATTGATAGTTCTAGGTTTTTCAGTTGGTCTGCATCGGAATTACCAGGAATGCCTATAAAAACTATGGGTTTCTGGGCCATACCAACTAGAGAAGAAATTCTGAAAATGTCTAGGGATCAAGGAACATGTATTTTTAATGAGCACTTCAGGTTTTATTGATAATAAGGCCCATATTTGGGAACCCTGATAGGTCCTACATTTCACCCATGGTGTACTGACCTTCATACTTATTCTCTTAGAACAGCGGTTCTCAACCTGTGAGTCTCGACCCCTTTGGGGGTCGAACGACCCTTTCACAGGGGTCGCCTAAGACCATTGGAAAACACATATATAATTACATATTATTTTTGTGATTAATCAGTATGCTCTAATTATGTTCAATTTGTAACAATGAAATTGGGGGTCACCGAAACATGAGAAACTGTATTAAAGGGTCGAGGCATTAGGAAGGTTGAGAACCACTGTCTTAGAATAAGAGGGAGGTGGGCAGAGGGAGAAGACAATTTTTTTTTTAAATCCAGCTATTTAAGCTTTCTGGTTGGGTGCTCAAAAGGTGGTTTGGGCAAGCCTGGGTAGAACATAGTCGTCCAATTCATCAAAATGTCATATAAAGGAACAGATGTTGGCAGCAAATTGGTGACAGTAGAGCACAGGAACCAAGATTATGGACTTAGTACAGTGTAACCTCAACCTTGATAAGTTTCAATTTCCTCATGGGTAAAATGGGAATCATAAAAGAAACTACCACATAGGGTTGTTGTGAGAATTAAGTAAATAATGTAGATGAAGAGTTACACACAGTGCAGTGCATGTGATAATTCAAACAGCGGGAAAATAACTTCGGCTCTGTAGCTCACGCTCTGTTTCATTAGTGAAGGGGAAGCATAACACGAATAATTTCTATGTTCTTTTTTTCTTTTTTGGAATCCATTTTGTTGCCTTTATTTGGTTATAGGTATGTGTGACTTTCCAAAAATTAGCAGTATTTCAAAAATTATGATGTAGCAGCATTAAATTCAATGGCCAAGTCTATTAATTCACTAGAGGTTACAAAATGTCAATATTTTAATTCTATAATTCCTTCTTCATTTATTAGCTGGGCTACAAAAAGAAATTTTTGCTCACCTTGGGGAGAGTTGGGAGATTTCCAGCTCTCCCCAAATCCTCCCTTGTTCCTACCTTCATGTTCATGGTGGATGACGTCTCCTCTCAGTCCTCTGGACTGAAAAACCTACCCTTTTGTAGTTTCCAGGCTGGTGGCTTATACTTCAGCTCGGAAAAGCACAGGGTGATAGAGTTTTGGGTATAAAAGGACTTTTCCTAGTGGCTAAACTAAGGTATAGGGAAAATATTTTTAAATTTTGTTTCTAGCCTCCACTGGCCTACAGTTTGCCATACTTTCCAAAAATATGACAAAAGAGGTGAGCCTGTTAGCAAGACAATAAAGTAGCTGTATTCCAATTTCTTCAGATGCTGCAGATGTGAGTTTAAAATATATCCCAATAGATAGTGGGATCTACTAATACTCCTTTCAATGTCCCTACATATTAGTAAACCTCTGATTTATTTGATAGGGTTGTACTTTTTTTTTAAATATATTTTATTGATTTTTTACAGAGAGGAAGGGAGAGAGATAGAGAGTCAGAAACATCGATGAGAGAGAAACATCGATCAGCTGCCTCCTGCACATCTCCTACTGGGGATGTGCCCGCAACCCAGGTACATGCCCTTGACCGGAACCGAACCTGGGACCTTTCAGTCTGCAGGCCGATGCTCTATCCACTGAGCCAAACCGGTTTCGGCTGATAGGGTTGTACTTAATATGTAATAGTTATTGCCTAAGACTATTACATTTTAATAGATTTTAAATACATGAATTGCTTCTGTTTTACAGGCTATTGATGCTCTAAAGAAAATATATATGGAGTTTCCTCAACTATACAATACTAGTATGGTCTGCTCTTTCTTGCCAGAAGTTATCTATAAGGTAAAATTTAGTATATTTGTTGTACATAATATTATATTAGTTGGTGGTGATAATAGCAATGGGCCAAATAACTGTAAGACAGATGCCTGTTAAATTGAACTGAATCAGTTAAGAAACTCCTCTTTTAAGTTAACCAGAGAAATTCAGGAAGGGGAATGTATTCATATCCCATTTAAAAATACCATGATTCCGGCCAGGCTGGTGTGGCTCAGTGGGTGAGTGTCAACCTATGAACCAGGAGGTCATGGTTCAATTCTCAGTCAGGGTACATGCCCTGGTTGTGGGCTCGATCCCCAGTAGGAGGTATGCAGGAGGCAGCCGATCTTTGATTCTCTTTCATCACTGATGTTTCTATCTCTCCTCCCTCTTCTCTCTGAAATCAATAAAAAATATATTAAAAATCCCGTGATTCCTTTTTAGCTCCTTTTTTTTAATGTTTATAGGTTCATTCAGATTACTTTGGAAAACGTTCTCAGAACAGAAAGAATTGTGTAGCTCTACATCTCACTGAGTAACAGCAAAATATACCTTTTAAAAAATAGCTTTTAATTTCAGAGAATTTAAAATACGCATAAAAGTAGATGGTAGTACAATGAGTCCCTCTAACCACGATCCGGCTTGTTTCATCCATATCCCACTGCTTGTTTCATCTGTACCCTCCTTGTTTTCCCCAGTGTTATTTTGAAATGTATCTGACATCATATCATTTCATCCATTAAAATTGCATTAAGTATCTTTTTTTTTTTTAAATCCTCACCTGAGGATATGTTAGAGAGAGGAAATGAGAGAGAGAGAGAGAGAGAGAGAGAATCATAGATCTGTTGCCTCCCATATGTGCCCTGACTGGGAATCAAAACTGTAACCTTAAGGTGTACAGGACAACATTCTAACCAACTGAGCCACCTGGCCAAGGCACATTAAGTATCTTTAAAAAGCAATTCCTTTAAAAACATACAGCCACAATACCATCATCTAAAATCGTTGATAATAAGTCTATAAGATCAAATATGCACTCAGTGTATACATTTTCATTTGTCTCAGAAATAGCACAATTTTTTTTTTTTTTACAAATTGCTAATATGAATTAGGACCCAAATAAAGACTATCTGTCATAATTTTAAATCTTAAACTAGTAAATTCTTCCTCTCCCCCACCGCATCCCCTGACCTTGTGATGTATTTATTGAAGAAACCAGGTTGTTTTGTAGAGTTTACCCAAGTCTGGATTTTGCTAATTATGCCATAACAAAGTTCAACACTTTCTTCTCCTCTGTATATTTCCTGTAAATTGGTGATGAGAGCTAAAGGCTTGATCAAATTAGGTTCAGTTGTTCTTGGCAAGATAATTTCATAGGTTAGTTATTTTTCCATCAAAGGGCATATAATGGCTGGCTGACTCTTGTTAGCAGCTGCTATTGATGCCAATGGTCAGCTCTCTCACTTTATTAGGGGTTGCAAAATGTTAATATTTTAATTCTATAATTTCTTCATGTATTAGCTAGAATACTTCTATAAAAAGAAACTAACCTACTATTTAGTTGCCCAATAGGCAAATAAATGCTTAATCTTTCCCTTAATTTGCCAGTTTCCAAAATAATGAGTTGGTTCTGTAGCACTCTTTAACAGTGACCAACAGAGCATACATTTAAAATTTTATAGTAAGAGTGTAGCCAGTCCACATATAAACTGTCAATAAGATGAATAGGTCTCATAGGGCTTTCAAATATTTGGATCAGTGTTTCCCAAACTTACTTGGCCACAGAGGCTTTAAAAATGTATGCTGGCCTGAACTGGTTTGGCTCAGTGGATAGAGCGTCGGCCTGCGGACTGAAGGGTCCCAGGTTCGATTCCGGTCAAGGGCATGTACCTTGGTTGCGGGCACATCCCCAGTGGGGGGTGTGCAGGAGGCAGCTGATCGATGTTTCTCTCTCATCGATGTTTCTAACTATCCCTCTCCCTTCCTCTCTGTAAAAAAAAATCAATAAAATATATTTTTAAAAAAATTAAAAAAAAAAAAGTATGCTACAGGCTTGCCCTGGTGGCTCAGTGGACCTATGAACCAGGAGGTCATGGTTTGATTCCCGGTCAGGGCACATGCCCGGATTCCAGGCTTGATCCCCAGTAGGGGGTGCGCAGGAAGCAGCTGATCAATGATTCTCTTTTATCATTGATGTTTCTATCTAGCTCTTCCTCTCTGAAAGCAATAAAAACATTAAAAAAATTAAAATGTATGCTGTATTTTCCAGAGGAGCATAGAACACAGACTTAAATAATTCCACCCATATCTCCCCATTTCTCCTTTGCCCTCTTCCTATCCCAACCCCCCATTTTTCTTCTTTATTCTCTTCTCAAGTACTTATCCTGCTTCCCCACCCCCACCACTCTTTTCAGCCATTTTCTCTAGAAAGGATCAAAAGCTAACCAGCCTATCTTGAAATGATCTTAGTTCCATCCTCATTGAGTTCTAATTATCTTTGCCCAGAATTTAAGTTGATATCCTGTTGAAATTATTTTCTTGTGACATTATTAAAACTTGACCCCCAGATCATGATTTCTCTTTGAGATTATGATTTTCTCATTTTAAAGATAGGATTGCAGTTTGTTTAGGATTGTAAAGGAATTGTTCTTATTGATACTTATATTAAACTAGAGTTCCAGTGCACGAATTCGTGCATGGGTGGGGTCCCTTGGCCTGGCTGGCAATTGAGGCCTATCGGGGGGCCAGCCGGCTGGGAGGAGGGGCCGCGGGTGGTTGGCTGGCTGGTCCCGCCCCCAGTTGTGTTGGGGGGCCCTATTGGGGGCAGGGCTGGCTGGGGGGGGAGGGGCTGCGGGAGGTTGGGGGCCTATTGGGGCCCGGATCGGGCCAATTGGCAGCTGCAGTGCGCTTCATAGCGATTAGTTGTTCCGGTCGTTCTGGTTGTTCCACCGTTAGGGTCGCTGGGCTTTTATATATATAGATGCTTTACTCTGTCACCTTATTTTCTCAAAGTGTTTATGATAGAGTACTTATTTAGTAGACATGGGGAGAGTGTACTAACTCACTTTTCAGAATGAGAACATTGGCTAAATTTAAATAAGAAGTGAGAGGTATTGGACTTACGATAATTATTATATTTTCCAAAATTCCTTTTCAGATGAGACAAACAGATCGGAATGTAGTAACGGCTTTAACTCACAGACCTTGGAGCCTTAGCCATACGGGAGATGGGAAACCACGCTATGATAACATGTGGAAACTGTCCACATTTGTGGTCTTAGACATTTTACTTGACTGGAGCATGCATAATGTCTTGTGGTACCTGTGTGGAATTTCAGCTTTCCTCGTACAGAAGGATTCTATATCCCCGTAAGTTGGACAGTATTTTATCTTCTAACACATTTCTTGAATGCTCTTCTTGGAAAGGAAGAGTAGCAGTGGACAGCCTGGATAAGTTCCCACCCACAGAGCCCAACGCGCCTTTATTAAGATGGAATGCCACTAGCTTCTTAGGTGGGAAGAGTTCAGGCATACTTTATTATTTCCAAAAACAAGTTGATCAAATATTCTTGGTTTTAAGTGCATTTTATAGAAAAAATAAATTTGTCAAACTGGTGAGAGAGAAATTACATTTCCTTGTGATCGTCTCCTTTGAAAACCAATGTAGGATCCAGGTCAGACAGAACCACAGTGAAGATGTCCTGTGGGTGCCTAACTCATTTCTTCAGTTTTTCCTCCCACTCCCCTCTACATTGTAGGCTCTGCTCCATTGTTTCCAAAACTTCTTGTTCCCTAACGTGCTGGCAATCTGTTTTTTAGCAGTTTTGTAGCTGTGTATTTCAGCCGATTATAATTTAAGTTTCATATTATTTCAGGTTTGTATGCATTTAATTCAATAAATATTTGGTGTATGTCTACAGCAAGCATGTCAAACTCTCGTGGCCAGCTGCGAGTTTGACATGCTTGGTCTACAGTATTGCAAGGTATTAAGAATCTGAAGATACTGTGGTAAAGAAACAAAGCCATGTTCTGTCCTAATGGAGTTTATAGTTAAGTGGAAAAGGAGATAGATGCTAATCAAATAAAAATTCAACAAATTACAGCTAAGATAAATGCTTTGTAGGTGAGAACAGTGTGCATATAAAATTTTACCTAGTCAGGGGAGTTGGGGAAAACAGCTAAAGGGTGAGTAGGAACTGAGGGGAGCGGTGTGGAGATCAAGTCAGGGAGAAACACATGCAAAAATGTTGTGGCAGCAAAGAATCTGGTTGTTTCAAGGAATTAAAAGAAAGTCAATATACTGCAGCACAGGAAAGAAATGGGGAGTATAGTTTAAGATGAGGCCAAAGAGACAGGTGGGACTAAGCTAGGAATGGCTTTTGTTATGACTTATTGGGGAGGGGTGGGATTTTTAGTAAGCCCCTGAAAAGTTTTAAGCCGTGACAGTGTGGAGGAGATTTCCACTGGCTTTTGGGACATTCCCTCTGATTTCAGTGCAGAGGCCAGTTAAGAGGCTTTCTGAGCACTGTGAGTACTCAATGAGTTACCAGACTTAGTGACCAGCATAGATTCCTGGGCCAGCTGGTCATTGTTCTAACAGATTTGTTTTTTCCTCTTTCTCCAGGAACTACTTAAAGAAGTGGTCCGCTAAAGGCATTCAGGTGGTTGGTTGGACTGTTAATACTTTTGATGAAAAAAGTTACTATGAATCCTATCTTGGTTCCAGCTATATCACCGACAGCATGTTGGAAGACTGCCCACCTCACTACTAGACTTTTCCCCCAGGGAGGAAGCCATGGGTACAGAGATTGCCTGCTGGCCTCATGCAGGGATACTGAGAAACCCTTTGTGCTAGCCCAAGCCATGGGGAATCGGGTGGCCCGCAGAAGCAATAGTCGGTAATTGCATTTTAACCTTGGACCAAAGCAAAGCCTGGTGTTGCCACCGTGCTCCATGGAATGCCTGAGTTCAACACCGTTGCTCTTGAAAATCTGGGTCTGCAAAAAAAGGCACAATAGCTCCTGCCCAGACCTCGCTGAGGCACACACCAAGACCCAGTGAGGATAGGCACAGATTGAGCTGTGCAGTGTGGGGGTACAAATGCAAATGCATGGGATACGCATGATCACTCAAATTTGACATTTTAAAATTTGACACACATGTAATTTATTTATTTAAAATATTTGTATTTGGCTACATTATCAATGTACTGTAGTCATCAAACTTGTGACCATACTAATAATAAAATCATTAAAAGGAGCACGAAGGGAAAACTGCTTATCAAGCATCAAATCCTAGGACATAAGGAATTTAGGGAAGCTGCTATCAGCAATCCAGTGACCAGGGGCAACAGCTTCAGTGTGATGCAAATGTCAGGGAAGTCTTGATACCAGCCTGAGGGATTGTTTGTGGTATCTTGAAATAACTATAGACCACTAGGGGGCAGAGTTGCACTCTTTCAGGCTACTCTACAACATGATCGGAGACTATTCAAGGACATCTAGGCTTAACCTCATTTTACGTGAGAAAACTAAAACCTGTGGTTTTTGTTTTTTTTTTACTATTTGCCAGGAACTTTAGTGGTTTTTAACACATTATCTTATGATAATTAAAAATTTTTTTTTTTACTATTTGCCAGGAACTTCAGTGGTTTTTAACACATTATCTTAATTAAATCTCACAAAATTCTTGGTGCAATTGGGATTCAAATCTAGGTTGGTCTGACTCAGAGCTCCTTCTTTTAACCCCCTGCCTGCCTTTATACAGCCCTTGATTCCCAATTCCTTCCCACATGAGCTACTGGAGGGTCTTATTGTGAACTTAAATAGCAATATTTAAAATAAAGTTGAGACTTTAAAAGATTGCAAAGCTTTCTTTCTCCTCTAGGCCCCTCTTCCCCCCACCTAATAGCCCCATCCATAGCCTTGATCACAGGCCTCACAACTTAGTCATGACTTCCCTCCTGAGTCCAGTGGGTCACCAGCCTCACACGTGCAGCGGGCCACCGGTCCACGCAGCCAGGTGGCAATGAGAAGCAAATGGATTTTTGCTATAGTTGGTGTTGGCAGGAGCATGTAGATGGGGTTTGGGATAATTTTCCATTTATAAAATTTTCCTTGAATTTTAAAATTATAAGATAAAGATTTATTCAATAAATGGAGCAGATACCTAAACTGCATGTATTTCTGTGTCACATTATGACAAGTGATGAGAACCACCCAAAATTTCTGTGGCCCGAATTCCTCCTGTGACTTATATTCAGAGATGCACACGGACAGGGAAGGAATGCCTTTAGGGGCAGGAAAGTTAACATTCCTCTTGTGTGAAGACCTTTTGAAAGCCAGTTTACTGTCTTGACTTTTGTCCCAAATCCATTTTGCTCTTGACTGTGCCATACCCAATTAAGGATTTAGAGCCTATGCTAAAGTGGCTTGGGGCTTGAAGAATGGAGAATTTGGATGAAGAAAGATGTTAATAAGTATTACTGTTGCCCGCCCAGTGTGGCTCTGGTTGAGCATTGACCTATGAACCAGGAGCTCAAGGTTTGATACCGGGTCAGGGCACATGCCCGGGTTTCGGGCTTGATCTCCAGTAGGGGGTGTGCAGGAGGCAGCCGATCAATGATTCTCATCGTTGATGTTTCTATCCTCTCCCTCTCTGAAATCTATCTATATATATATATATATAATCTATTAAGTACTTACTTGAAAGGCTTGGTATTGGGTTAAAAACAGGATTTGGGATCAGAGAAAGGTAAATCTGGTTTCCTGATCAGCACCTTGCCAGCTGTATGACCTTGGACTAGTTACTAATTCATCTGTAAAATAAGGGCAGTAGTAGTACCACCTCAGAGGGTGGTTGTGATGAAACGAAAGTGCATGTAAAAGGCTTGTTAATAACATTTACTGACTCTACCATGTGCAAGACACTATTTCAAATGTTTTCGATGTATTTACTTTGCAACAACACCATGAGGTAGTTCCCATAATATGCTAAAGGAAACCAAAGCACAGGGAAATTAAGTAGCTTGTCTACAGTCACACAACAGTAATAGGATAAGGATTCAAGCACAGGTGATAGAATTCCAGAGCCCACATCCTAAAGCCCTGCTTATCATGGCTGGTCCATACCTGTAGCAATGCCTGTATATGTTCAATAAATGTTGAAGGAATGAATTAGAGGATATCAGTGGAAACTTCCTTGAGGAAGCTAGAGATACACATACAGTAAGATGAAAATTTGGGAGTTTAGATAAATGATTCAGATTCAGCAGTATCGAGGGGCCATCCAAAATCCCAATCGATAGCTTTCTTTCTAAGAACATCAATACAGATAAAAATCACATCTGTTCATTGGACTGCACCTCTGCTCTCAGGATTCTGGAGACATAACATCGAAGGGCTACCTCAAAAGGCTTAAAAAATCCACTACTTACTTGATTAAACAGTACTCATTTTCTTATTTGGAGACTGGTGTCTACAATCCTGTTTTGACAAGAATTTCACCAAGACACAAATATTCTATTTTTATTAGATGCAAATTTCTAAATAAAATCACACCTACCACTATCTAAAGTGGAAACAGTGCTTGACCAGAACAGTAAACCACAGCCTTGAGGACAGGAAGGGTGTGAGTCAGTGAACATCCAAACATCCACTCAAACCGTGAGCATGGAGTGACAGTTACGGTTTGGTGAGGTTATTTGATTTATCAAAAATGCTGAAGATCGATGGCTTTGTGTGCTCTATTATTAAACTTTATGCTCAAAATCTATGTGCCAAACGCCAAGTATTAAGAAGAGGCTAGGCACGGTGGATGCTGTCCTTTGAGATATTTATTCAACATCAGCTATGGGGGAACTTGTTAAAAACGCAAATTCTCAGAGCCCATCCCAGAACTGAAACTCTGGGTGGGGCACAGGATTTGTTTTAACAAACCCTCCAGGCAGTTCTGATACATGCACAAATCTGAGAACCACTGAGCTAGAGAAAACCTGAAGTCCTCGATTCTGCCACTGGCTACCTAGGAGACCTGTGCATGCCCAAGTCTTCATCATCTGTCAAATGGAGGTCATGATATTTGCACTAACTGTCTTACAGCCATAATGTTATGAGATTCAAATGATAGAAGTGGGAGTGTTTTTGAAAAATGTCCCTAAGAGTGCAGATAAAATAAGAAAAAAAATGTGGGGATGCTCTAGCGTACTGCTCAGGGTGTGGTCCTCAGACCCATCCCTCCCGGCCTCCCAAATTAGAATCTGCTTTATAACAAGAGCCCTGGCGATGAAGTGGAAAAGGCACCGAGTGGAGAGTAACAGCACACAGTGTAAGGCACTGGTATCAGCTGCAGCTGTGAGCACAGCAGAGGGCCCTCTGCTCCACACTGAGCTCCTCTCAATGGTCTGTCTGGCGGTTGATCAGACATGGAAATGCTATGAAAAGGTTTTGACTTGGACAAGTGAGGGGGGATTCTGTGAGGTGCTACCATACTAGAGACAGTTCCTATGAGTGAGCTGAATTCTTACCACCTGTCCTCAATTCAAAGGTTATAAAAAAATATGCCAGTCTGTGCTATTTTATTTTTTTATATTTATAATTTTTTTTTATTGAATTTTTAGAGACAAAGGGAGAGGATAGAGAGTTAGAAACATCGATCAGCTGCCTCCTGCACACCCCTTACTGGGGATGTGCCTGCAACAAAGGTACATGCCCCTGACTGGAATCGAACCTGGGAACCTTCAGTCCATAGGCCGACGCTCCATCCACTGAGCCAAACCAGTTAGGGCTAGTCTGTGCTATTTTAGCCACTCCTTTTATAATTGAACTTTACACAAAAGCATCTCATAGCCTCCTAAGAAATGAACTGGGCCATTTGCTGAGACCGCTTGAAGGATCAGATCCTGCAGAAATTCAAAAGAGGCTATCCTTTTTTTTTTTTTTAATACTTAAAACTGCCAGCTTTCAAGGGATGGTTGGAAAACATGTTACTTTTATCATTTTGAACTAATTAAAATAAGGGTTGGAAGAGGAGAATGGGAATGTCCCCTGAAGATTTTGATGCGATATTATGAACTCACCTTTTGTATGTTTAATACGTTCCTCCAGTGGCTTTTATGGTCAGGCAAGTTTGGGAAGGACTACTCTAGATCCTAGTTCAGTAGTCCTCAGTCCTGGCTTTCTACCAAAACCATTTGGGGAGCTTTAAAGAAAAAATATGGATGCCTGCTCTAGTTGGTCTAGAGTGGGGCCTGGGCCTGGCTGTTGCCTGACAGCTCCCTGTGTGATTCTGGGGGCAGCCAGCACTGGGAACCCTGATGCCTAAAGAGAGGCTGTGATGGGACGGGGAGAGCTGGCCTCTGTTATGGTCTGAACTGTGTGGACCCAAATTTCCTATGCTGAAGTCTGAACACCCAGTGCCTCAGAATGTAACCATATTTGGAGATCTGGCCTTTACACAGGTGAATAAATTAAAAGGAAGCTATAAAGGTGAGCCCTATTCCATTGCCTGGTGTTCTTATAAGAGGAGAAGATCTGAACACTGAAACGTACACCGGAATCTGCACACATAGAGGAAAAACACTGTGTGAGGACACAGCAAGAATGTGGCCATCCGCAAACCAAAGAGACAGGACTCAGAAGGAAACCAAAACTGTGGATACCAACACTCTGATCTTGGACGTCTAGCCTCCAGAACTGTGAGAAAATAAATCTGTGTTGTTTAAGCCACCCAACCCATGATATTTGGTTACGACGGCCCCAGGAAATTAATACACCCCATCTCAAGACTAAACGTAAAAAGCATCCTCACATCCACATGTGTGTGTGAGACCTGCAGACTCAATCTTTCTATTGTGTTTACATCTCCAGGGAAGCAGGCTTTACACGAATGGGGGCAAGAGATGGAGGTGAATGGAGATAGAAACCTTTAGCATGTAGTGAGTCAGCAAAAATGATGCTTTCAGAGGGAGTTTACCTTTTGACGTAGAAGCCAGAGAAACACAAACAGCATTAAGATGATACAGAGCTGGGAGGGCGGAAATCACTTCAAATACCAATTCCACTGACCCGAGACAAGTTGTATCCCAATTGTCCCATGGGCTTCTCCTGCACAGCATCTATACAATTATAATATTAATTATTAAGTTCCTATCTGAATTAACTTGCTAGGCATCTGAGGGGAGAGACTGTGTCTTAACTTGTTCACTATTTTGTGCACCACTTGGCACGTATTTGTGAAATGAACAAACACTACTAGCACCCAAAAGAA